TAGTTTATTTATTAATCAATAACGCTTGTTTCAGCACCTGCACTAATACATCATTTTCTCTGTACATCAGCCCTTTATTTAATCACTCACTCAACTGAGGAAAGAAGTTTCAGATTTATGAGTCACATAAGTCTTTAGTTGTTATTTTTAAATTCCCCAGTCCAATTTTATTCACTTTTCTTTGGCTAGTATCTACACAGTTAAATGGCTCTACCATCTTTTTTTTTTTTTTTTTTTTTTTTATTTTTTTTTTTTTTTTTTCAGAGAGAGGAAGGGGGAGAGAGAAAGAGAAACATCAATGTGAGAGAGAAACATCGATTGGTTGCCTCCTGTATGCACCCCAAATNTATTGATTTCAGAGAGAGGAAGGAAGAGGGAGAGAGAGAGAGAAACATCAGTGATGAAAGAGTCACTGATCGGCTGCTTCCTGCACACCCCCCACTGGGGACCGAGCCCCCAACCTAGGCATGTGCCCTGACCAGGAATCGAACCTTAATCTCCTGGATCATAGGTTGATGCTTAACCACTGAGCCATGCCAGTCAGGTAGGTCTACCATCTTAACTGAATTGATTAGTCACTTCAGTTAAAATATGAGGGTGGATTCCAGTCAAGATGACAGCATAGGTAAATCTAGCTGAATGTAAGTTCTACAACTAGGAAATTAAAGAAGAAGCACATTGAGAATGGTGGGAGGGGCAGAATCATGGAACCAGCCGGTTCTACACTCACGTGTGGTGATTTGAAATAGGAAGGGATATGTTGGCTGTGGAGATCCCCCATGAGGAACGAGGGGTCCCAGCCCCACACCAGGTCCCCTAGCCCAGGGTTCCAGTGCTGGGAAGGGTAGTCCCCACAACTTCTAGCTGTAAAAACCAGCGGGGATTGGGCCTGAGTGACACAGAAACTGTGGGAGTCCCAGCATTTTCTCTTAAAGGGCCTGTGCACAGACTTACTTCGACTCATTCCCTCTCAGCTCCAGCACTGAGGGGGCAGCTTGAAAGGAACCTGGGACATTCTGGGAGGAACTAACTTGTCTGATATCAGGGCAAGAACTGGAGGGGCAGCTTTCTTCCAGACAGAGGAGCTGGCAGAAGCCACTGTTCCTTTGCTGAGCCCTCCTGCCACAGAGCCCATAGGCAGGTGCCATATCTGATTTTCCATCAACCTGGCTCACACTTTTGCCTACCCTGGTGATTTCCTGTGACCCTGCCCCTCCCTACTTGCAGGCTCATTCAAGCCATTTCCAGTGGCTTTTCTATGCAAGTGGCCTCTCTTGCCTCATGCTTAGGACTTTCCTAAAATCTCTCAAACAAGCAGCAGCTGGCCTCAGCATGCCCCATACCTCTCGATAAGTGGCGCTAGGCCTGGCACTAGTGGAAGCCTGCAGTGGTTCATAGCTTGGCCTCTCCTGGGCACCTCTAAGTCCAACACGAGTAGCAGCCATCTGCAGATTGCTCTGTAGCTCATGCTGGGTGGCCCCAGGCAGGTCATATGCAATGGCTGACTTTGCACCTCCCAGGAGGCCCCAGAGCCAGTGCACTTGGTGGTCAGCTTTTTAATTTTTTTTTTTAGTCCTAACCTGAGGACATTTTCTTCCATTGCTTTTCAGAGAGTGGAAGGGAGAGAGGGAGACAGAGACGGAGAGGGAGAGAAACATTGATGTGAGAGAGACACATCAATTGGCTGCCTCCCGCTCAAGCCCCTACTGGGGTCAGGGTAGAGTCTGCAACTGAGGTATGTGCCCTTGGCTAGAACTGAACCCTTGTGTGCCCCCTCTGTAGACAGTGTCTCCTCTGCATCATTCCAGTAGAAAGAGGAACCTGGAAAAGAGACCTAGACTTTCATTCCCCTCCCCCACCATATACACATACACAAATCTTCCTTGTAACTGGTACAGCATTTTTGAGAGTTGGCTAGCTAGGGTTAATGTGACGTTTATAGCTGAAAGACAGAGGAAAAACAAATAGCCCCTGTGTGTGTTTGAAGTTCCTTTCATTATTTAAAGAGCTTTCTTTTGCTATTCAGTTATATAAAGGTTAGAAGACAAACTGGAGTCAACAAAAGAAATGAATCATTTGAATAGTATGATTGCCATTCTGTAGTGATCTGAAAAATCCAATATCACCATTTAAATCAGATCCACTTTCATTTAGATAAAGGGACTTGATCTTTTCCAGTGGCCACCTAAGTAGAAGGTCAGACTAAGAAAATGCTCCAACCTGCTCTAGGTTTCCTTTTATTCTTCTAGCCTTCCTTTCTTCTCATTTATTCTGCATTTTTAACTTTTTTTTGCACTGAAAATTTGTTTATCACATCATGAATTTAAAGTAAGTATCTGAAAACAAAAATTTTATTAGTTTATTTAGTTGAAATAGTGTACATTCCCTTTAACCTTGTAAGTGTTGGCTGGGTTCAAATAAGCATGTGTGTAGGGGCATAGCCATTAAAATTATGGGTAACCTTTAGCATACCATATGTTATAAATGTCTTTACATAAGGTATTGCTTCTAAAGCCAGAAATTATAGCTTATCAAGCTAAAGAAGCAAACTTGGATTGCAATATTCTTGACCTGTCTTTCTGTGTTTTAGTATGCAGTGTCAAAGATCATTGGCCCAAGCAGCCTGGTTGATAAGTTAGGAATTATTCACTAAAACTTCATGGTCCCCTAAAAAAATGCAAGTGGTATGTTAAACATTTGGGAAAAAATGAAGGCAAGAGAGCTGCCATTTTTAAAGGTGAATTTCTTCTTAATTTGGTTTATATTAAAAGGCCCACCAGAGGAAAAAGAACCTAATTTAGAATTTCACATTTCTGGGTTCTAATCCTTGCAGGAGCATGTAACTAGAAGTTAAGTATTTAGCCTTAAATGAAGCATTTTAAGAATCCTTACCTTATGTAAGCAAACAAGAATTTCTCTCCTAAAGAGAAGTGGCCCTTGTTTGAGTGGGAAGAAGAGATTGTTAGAGCAGAAGATTCTTCTTTCCTCTTGTGAGATAAATCAATAATTTTATTTTTGAAACACCAAAAATACTTTTGCAAAGAAATTATCTGGTGATGCGCCCAAAAATCTTCTGACTGTGGAAATGTTGACACATCTTTAAGATTTGACTACATCAAAGATTTGTCTTTAATACCTGTCAACACATCATGTTTCTGCATCTCAGTTTGTATATATTTCAAGAAAACTATCAATATTTGTTTTGTTACATAGTACATTTGAGAGATTCATGAGAAGGAAAAGTAAAACTGCATTGTTGGAGGTCACAGTAACTTCCTCCTTTGGTTTTAGTTGACACATCCATTCATACATTCCTTGAAAGTCCTCCTACCTTTAGGCTCCAGGATACTGTAGGTTAATTCCCCTTTGATTTCCTTCTTGTTCTCATGTGATGGTGTTTGTTTTTTACTCTCTAGTGAAACCATAAATATATTTTAATATTCAATCATAAGTCTGTGCTTTTCTGTCACCATAGTCACTCTTTTGGGGGAGGTAATCTATCTGAGACCATATTTGCAAATTCAACTCAGATCTCTCTCTTACAATTCAGTCCTGTATTTTCATCTCAAGGTCTTCTGTCTTTGTTGAGCACTCAAGTCCTGTGACATTTTCTTCTTATGAGTGTTCATCGTGCCCAGCTGGTGTTGCTCAGTGGTTGAGTGCCAACCCATGAACCTGGAAGTCACGGTTCGATTCCTAGTCAGGGCACATGCCCAGGTTGAGGGCTTGTTCCCAAATAGGGGGAGTGCAGGAGGCAGCTGATTGATAACTCCCTGTCATCATTGATGTCTCTATCTCTCCCTCTCCCTTCCTCTCTCTAAAATCAATAAAAACATATTTTTAAAAATATTAAAAGTTCTAGTTCCCAGAGAGCCTAGTGTAGAGTTCCACATATGGTGATGACTCATGGATAGAGTGCCCATGAAGTAGACCTATACACATTATGATACTGAAGTTCTGTCTTCTTCAGAGTATTAGCCAGTCTTCAGAGCCTTATTAGTCCTTGCTTCACATATCATGTTCCACTTTTACATCATTTCTTTCAGTCCCTTCCTCTAGCAAGCTTTCCCCCATGTTTTCTTTCAATCTGCTTCACACATGCCATTTCCCCTACTGAGCATACACTCTGTTGTCCCTCACTTCCACCTTCCTTAGGTCTTAGCTTAGATATCACTTCCTCTAAGAAGTCTTTCATTATCCCTCAATCCAGGTTAGATTCCCTTTCTAGGCACTCCCATGTGACCCATAACTGTCTTGTGTATTATAATTGCCTGTTTATCTGTTTCTATTTCTCACTAGGTTGTAAATTCTCTGGGTCAGAGACATTTCCTGTCTAAATTAGTACTATAATCTCATTGTCTAGTCCAATATTTGATACACAACAGGTGATTAATAAATAAATGAATGTTTCTTTTATAATATCTTGCCACCACGAACATATAGACAGTTTTCCCTTGTGAACTATTTTTGAAATACATTTAAACCTGATTCTGCTATAGGAAAGTTTGAAATAGGAGTATATACCAACCTACACTTTCTCAGGAAGGGTGTTTACTCATAGTGAGTATAGAAACAGAATCTCTAAAGTCTTTACAGACTCTTATAGCCCGGATCAGCTGTAGCCATTACCATACTCTGTCTTTCTCATCCTGCCAAGGTGTTCAGATTTCACCTGTTCAAAGCAGTGCCAATTTCAAACCATAAGACATACTCAGAGGCAGCCATCAAAAGGGAATTACAGGAAGTGGACACAGAAGAGTCAAGCTAAACCCTTTCATTTGTCATGGGGTTTTCTGCAGCTAGGATTGGTTAGCAGCTTTGACTTCAGAGAGCCTGGTATTCCCTGATATCTTGTTGGGAAATGTGTTAACTAATGACTAAGGGAAAGCTCCAGCTACTGAACCACCAAAAGGTTCAACTATCACCAAGCCTGGTGCTTTGGAAGAAGCAGATTCAATTGCACCAGATACTATAACTTCATAAATTTCCTGTTCTTCAAGGAGCTGACTTATCTTGCCAGAAAATTGAAATCTTAAGACCAGTGAGCCTGACTATGAAACACTTTGGAAAACTGAAGGTGAGTAATCAACACATTACCAACTTCTGGAGTTTAGGGTTGCATAGATGAGACTGATGA